TTTGCGGAAGTTAACGTTCACGGATCCCAAGGGTCGTAACTAACCGAGTACGTATTTTAATAAATATGTCCCCTTGATCGGTAAATTTAACTCCTTTTTGAAATTTCAAAATTTGTACAAGTATTCCATATGTACGAAAGTTCGACCGACTGCTTGGATGGTCTGATAAAGCTACGAACCCTCCGAGCTTGGGGGCCCGTATGTTAACACCCAAATTGTTAATCCACTAATTGTCCGACATGTGGAGTATATAACATAATTGTCCGACCTTGAAGATAAAACCGCTAAAAGTAAACAACTTTGGGACTAGATGAATTTCACCCGGAGCTCGGTTATCCAACCACAAGAAACTGATCAAAACCCAACATGAGTCGACCTCTGACAATGCATAAAATGCTGATGAGATGCATGTTTATCGTACTATCGAAAGGTTATCATTAGGCATGGGACCTGCACTGCAGAGCTGCACGTCGTCATCAAATCACATTAAATGCTGATGTACTGACATCGTGAACAGTCCCCGTGGGTCTTGCACTATAAATACCCCTTATTAATTGTACTAGAGTCAGAATATGAAATTCTCTCTCTAACTGTACTAAAGCACCCGAGTGTTTCACTATATAAAATATACAGTCATCCAACCTCATTTAATATTGATATCATTTTTACTTAGGGGATATCTCTAAACCGTTTATCCTAAATTTCGCACATCAACAAACTTAATGTCTCATTTTTTAACAATGTCCAACTTGACGTATCTTTTCTGAAATTATGTCCATCCTCCTTATATATAATTTTCAAATGTGCTGAGTGTAAGTGGTAGACTCGCATGCTTCTGGATCATATATGGCAAAATTACATTCTTCATTATTTGACTTGAATTAATTTTAGTTTACTGTCAATCCAGAAATAATTAGGTCCGGATTATCTTTAAATATGTTGATTATTTATCATTATTTTAGATGCATTAATTTCATTTAGTATTACTTCTTATTATAACCATTGAATTATAAATATATTTTAAAAGTTAAAACTTTAGTATTCTTTTATCAAATTTACATATATAATATATTATATTAACCATCTCTTAATGAGTTTCGGTTTGACATCCTTATTGTATGTATAACATAAATAAATTGTATTTATTTTTATAACAATAATAAAATTATTTATTATATCAACTAAAAAATAAATTTTTTTATCAATTAATATATTTATGTTTAAAGTAATTATATGATATAAGTTAGAAAAATTATTATAATATAACACTTGTAAATCACATAAGTAACAAGTGTCATTCTCAAATATATAATAATATATAATTTTTTTTGTGAAAAAAAGGATTTAATTTTAAAATATTATTTCTCATTAATTTTAAAATTTAAGAATAAATTTTTTAACAAGCACCGTATAATACACGTGACCACTATATGTTCAATCCTAGATCATTTCCGGGAAAGGCCATTTGGACCCGGCACCATCAAGGCCTGTTTTCACTTACAAGCCCACATCAAAACAGCTGGCCCATGGGCAGACCTCAGTTTCATGACAGACCACCTGATTGCTTCCAGTCCAATTCTCCTCCTTGACTTCTCAAAGCATTTTGCAGAACAAAATATCATTCCTCAATCCTGTTCATCGTCATCAAGACTTCAAAGTATCTAGGGCTGATTCATAGAGCGCGATTTCCATTTCAGCTCGGTCGTCTTCGCTACGTTTAAACTCCGGCGAGATTTCGCCGTCAGGTACGACTGAGATTCATTTAATATTCATTGTAAATTTGATCTGTGCATTGTCTTTGCGTGCACGATCGATGTCTGTGGATATTTTAGATTTATTTGATCTCATTCCGGTGAATTGTTTTTGTATCTGGTGAAGAATATGGCCTGAATTGTGATTTAATTTGTATTATTGCAAAGTCTTGTGCTTGTTGATCAATTCAGCTGCTATACACATGAATGAGATGCGGAGAACTAGGAACAGAGATGCGGAAATTTGAATGATAACATAATGAAATTAATTTGAAAAATCTCATGTTTTCAAATCCTGTAAATGCACTGATCGTTTGATTTTTTGGTTGATTGTTGTTGATTTTATAAAGCAATTGATTTGAATTTGCTCTTGCTCTGATCACTGATGAATTGCAAGCATTGAGACGCTAGGAGTTGGTTATGGCTGCATCGGAAGAGAACAGCGCACTGTTTCCCATCTTTGTATTGACAATAATAGCGCTGCCTCTGGTGCCGTATACTTTTGTGAATTTATACCTCACATTCAGGAAAAAGACCAAGACCGTTAATTGTCGTTGTTCGACCTGTTTCCGCTCGGGGAAGTATCGGAAGTCCATATTCAAACGTGTAAGTCTCTAATTTGACTTCTCATTTTTTGATACTTGTCAGAGATGACAATCGTGGCAGCTGGTCCGACATCTTTCTTTTCTTTATATGCCCAACTTTGCATTCAAATTCTGACATTTACCATTTCTGTGAAAATGCCAGATTTCAAACTTTTCTACTTACAGTAACCTGACGGTGGTTTTGCTATGGGTTATTGTGGCTCTTTTGGCTTTCTACATCAAGCATATCAACACTGAGGTACTTTATGGTTTATGATCTGTTCCTTCAGCTGGGGATTTTTTTCTTATTATGATCTGTTCCTATCTTTTTTTGGGTTTTACTTCTACAAACGTTGATTCAGTTTTATTTTGTTTAGAGTTTTTATCCCATTTTACCCATGCTTAGATAAGATGTTATTGTGTCATAAGTGGAATTGCTCATACATGTCACAGGATAGATGTAATAGGAATTTCTGATGTACATACATATATATTATCGTCTTTCCTGCCTCTTCGAATTTAAGTTTGCATCATCGTTTTGCAGGTCCAAATTTTTGAGCCATTCAGCATACTTGGATTAGAACCTGGAGTTTCAGATTCAGACATAAAGAAGGCATATAGGAGACTTTCCATTTTATACCATCCTGATAAAAATCCAGACCCAGGTTGAAGGTGTTCAGTGACTGCAATTTGGATTTCTTCTTACTTAAAAACTGAGATACAAATGATGGGTTTTTGTTGCCCATAACTAATGATCTGTAAACCTATCCATGCAGAGGCTCATAAGTATTTTGTAGATTATATCTCCAAGGCTTATCAGGCTCTAACAGATCCTGTATCACGTGAAAACTTTGAGAAATATGGCCATCCTGATGGCAGGCAGGTAGTGTACTTTCCTCTCAGGATCTGAAGTCTTGAGGAACAATCTCCATTTGGCCTCGTCATTGTTACAAGCTAATATAGAGATAGTGGACTTAAATGTAATTTTTTCTTGTAGGGCCTTCAAATGGGGATTGCTCTCCCGCAATTTCTTCTCGATATTGATGGGACTTCTGAAGTGATTTTGCTACTTGGTATTGTAGGAGTTTGTATTCTTTTGCCCTTGACAATAGCCGTTATATACTTGTCAAGGTCAGCAAAGTATACAGGGAACTATGTCATGCATCACACAATGTATGCTTACTACCATTTTATGAAGCCTTCATTAGCTCCAAGGTAAAAAGTCCTTCCTGTATTTATATTTGTTAAACTGGATAAATTGTTTATATCTGGTTATGATTACAAATGTTGATTATTCTGGCTACTTTTTGTGCTCTTGCATATTATGTTATATGGACCAAGGGAACAATAGAACTAGCCTTGCACAGTTTGGTGCTTTGTTTTGTCGATACGCACACTTATATCACTAGAGTTGTATTTAGTGCTATATATTGAAGGGAAAAGTGATCAATAATATTTATTTGTTAAATCCTCTAGCGGAAGTATTTCTTTCCATAAGGCAGATTCTTTCATGAATTGGTGCCAATATGCCTCTCTGTGTTTCTTTTGCAATGTACAGCAAGGTCATGGAAGTATTCATCCGGGCTGCTGAATACATGGAAATTCCTGTTCGTCGAACTGATGAAGAATCTCTTCAGAAATTATTTGTGTTGGTTAGGAGTGAGCTAAACCTGGATCCTAGAAACATCCGACAAGAACAAGCTAAGTTTTTGAAGCAGCATCCTGCTTTAGTGAAGGTGGCGACTGTTCACAAGTTTTTAGTTCTTCAGCATTCATTTTTTCTTTCTTTCTTTCTTTCTTCCTTTATTTATATATTCTGCTTGCAGACGGAATTGTTAATGCAAGCACATCTTACCCGTGAGACGGCAGCTTTATCGCCATCACTGGAGCATGATTTTAAGAAAATGCTTGCTCTTGCCCCTCGTCTTCTAGAAGAACTAATGAAGGTATTAGTAGTTGGCAACATTTTCCCTACTTCAATGAACGTATAATATCCCCTTCATACCTTTCTATATACACATGATAAAGGGAAAAATGTTTCCAGAAATAATATCAATAATTATCATGCACGTGGTTTTTCTTATAGAACACTATTAGGTGGCTTCATTGTTAGACAGATTACTGAAGGATCATGCACCTCACTATCCTTGGCTTCTTATTCAAAGAGTCCTTGAGCATGTGTTACTAGCTTATTACCAATGTTTTAAGTTGTTTGCTTAATATATGTTTCTACCACAAGTTTTCTATTTTTACCATATAAATTTTCATTCACTGTAGATGGCGATCATACCTCGCACCCAACGGGGGCATGGATGGTTAAGACCTGCAATTGGAGTAGTTGAGCTATCCCAGAGTATAATCCAGGTATATTTTGAGTTTCATTTTTGTGTGAGTAGATAGATGTGAATGTCCTCAAGGAACCAATTTGGCTAATAACTAATTAGTGTTCCTCAAGTTCTCATATTTACTTTCAAGAATTCTATAATTTGATTCGACATGCCTTTTAAAATTGACTCCAATAATTAGCAATTACCCAAAGGGTTTTTTGGACTGATGGAAATGAGTTAGCCCTGACTTAGAAATAGAAAAGTTATTTCCGTGGTTGAACTGGTTATTGATGTGGTGAATAATGTTCCCGCTGGTGCCTTTCTTTGTTTGTCTCATCCCTTCTCATCATCAAAATTTGACTGTAATTATCAGTACATTTTGATGTCAATTGCTGAAGGGTCAACATGAAAACATATCCAAGTTCTGTGCTTGCCTATTATCAACCAGACAGGCACATTTTGTGAATGCATTCAAAGTACTTCTAATTTTGGGGGAAACTAAAGTAAGTAAAAAACAATAGGGAAAATGAAACAGATAGGGATGGTTGCCCTCAATGCAAGGCTGATCATGTCACAGCATTATTATTATTAATTATTATTATTAGTATTATTATTATTATTATTATTATTATTATTGTTGTTGTTGTTGTTGTTGTTGTTGTTGTTGTTGTTGTTGTTGTTGTTGTTGTTGTTATTATTATTTTGGTTTTGTGTTTTGTTATTTAAAATCAGTATCAGAATGCGCTGTGGACTTTAATAGGTTGACTAAATACTTTTCTGTTAAAGAAACTGGATTATGATGATCCATTATTCCATTATTTTATGTCATATGAAGAAAACTTGTACAGCTTCACCAATGCATTCGAAAGAAATCAAAAGCCACAAAATACTGAAGCTAAATGACCCCTATTTACACTGCAATGCACATTTATTTATCCGATTTCCCTTTATGGTAGACTGAATGGTCTTCTAATTCTGATGCAGGCAGTCCCCCTCAGTGCAAGAAAACCCACTGCAGCATTAAGTGAAGGTTACGGCCCATTCCTCCAGCTCCCGCACTTCAGCGAGTCTGTTGTCAAAAAGGTTGCCAGAAAGGTACACACACAACACATAACCCCCTTTCCGAATAATTCAAAAGAAATGAAAAAATTCATCTGAAATAAATAAATAAATAAATGCCCTGTGCCCCTCGGTGCAGAAAGTACGCTCATTCCAGGACTTCCGTGAGATGAAACCGCACGACCGGGCAGAGCTCCTGGCTCAAGCCGCCGGCTTCTCGCCCGACGAGTCCCGGGACGTGGAACTTGTCCTCGAGATGATGCCTTCCGTCTTGGTCGACATCACGTGCGAGACGGAGGGCGAGGAAGGCGTGCAGGAGGGCGACATAGTCACCATGCAGGCCTGGATCACCCTCCGCCGGCCCAACGGGCCTGTCCGGGCCCACCCCCACGCCCCATACTTCCCCTTGGACAAGGAGGAGAATTTCTGGCTTCTACTGGCCGACTCTGCCTCGAACGACGTGTGGGTCTCCCAACGGATCAACTTTATGGATGAGACGACAGCTGTCATTGCGGCCTCAAAAGCTGTCCAAGAGCTGCGGGAGGGGTCGGGTGCGGGCCCGAAAGAGGTGAGTGCGGCCGTGAAAGAAGCGGTGGGGCGGGTGAGGAATGGGTCTCGACTGGTGATGGGGAAGTTTCAGGCTCCGCCGGAGGGGACGTACGGCCTGACGGCTTACTGTTTGTGTGACTCGTGGATCGGGTGTGATGCGAAGACGGGGGTGAAGTTGAAAGTTTCGAGGAGGAGTCGGGCGGGGACGAGGGCCGGTGGTGATGAGGTGGCGGCGGTGGAGGATGGTGGTGGGGTTGAGGAGGAGGATGAGGAAGGGGAAGAGGATTATGATGATGATTATGAGAGTGAGTATAGTGAGGATGAAGAGGATGTGAAGGAGAAGAAGAAGAGTGTGGGGAATGGGTATTCTCGGGTGGGTGACGACGGCTCGGGTTCGGATGGGACGGGAAGTGATGAAGATTAAGACTTTTTTTTTGGTTATAGTGTTGTCTCTTCTGTTTTTGCGGTTTTGGGGATTGTTGGTGATGGACTGGGCATGGTGGTGATTACGTATCTTGTGAGATATTGTGGATTAGTATGGCCTCGTTATGGAAAAGTTGCATTTTGGATATTTTTTTTTTTTCTTTTTATATACATGCAAGATGCAACACTAGACAAGTAGTGAAGTAGACGTGTCAGCCAGCCCGGCCCGGACCATCTCGAGGGCCCGTGCTGTGCTGCAACATTACCATGAAATGAACAGTGCGTAAATGAAACCTACCATCATCGGTAAACAGACTTTTCACTTGGATCAGTGTTATTGTCTTATTTTCAATATGGTTGTGCACACATGTATTTTCTGGTTCCTTTGTGCTTTTTAAATAATTACTGGTAACTTGCATAAGTAGAGGAAGAAAGCGCTGCATCATTTCCTAACACATTTACTTTGTCTGCATACAGGAGTTGCAATTTTAAACGCCTGACACGAAAACAGTTTAGTGTCACTAGTGTCAGTTTTTCGTATCCTCAGTAAGGATACGAACCGGGTTATTGTCAGTTTTTCGTATCCTCAGTAAGGACACCAACCGGGTTAGTGTCAGTTTTTCATGTCTGTATACTCGATATGTAGATGCATTTTGTATGTTTGGGTTAAATACTTCACAGTTCAATAATAACGTGTGTCAAACGAGTACCACGAGCTATATTAGTCCGATGGCTAGAGCTCATCAATTTCTCCTTTAGCTGGGAAATTGTTTACATGAGCTGGGAAATTGTTTACATGGCTCAAAATTTCATTCAATACAAATAAGCAAGTTTCAGCAGTCAAGTCACTTCACCCAGTATTCTGTTCAAGGCAATGGGACTAAACCGCAATCTTCCAAACACAAAAATATGAATCCATACTACTTTTTGCCATTACATCATATATGTTCCATGGCTCAACATCTCCGAAAATAAATCAAACGGGCGTCGAACATCTGATATTTATACCCATCTGATTTTGCCACAAGGAAAGAAGGCGCTTCATCTCACATTTTTTTTTTATTTTTTTATTTTTCTGTGTATTTCACCAAACTATGTAACTTAAATCAACAAATTGAGCTAGATTGTTTGTTTTTCTCATTGATTTTCTATAATCTTCACGCACACACACACACACACACAAACAAAAAGATAGCACTTTTTGACTGAAAAAAAATATAGAAAATTCTGAATTTTGTGAGAGTTTAATAAAATTTGCTATAAGCATTTGATGGCCAACATGTTAGATGGTGTTGTGAAATTTATATAATGGAGCCTTTAATGAAACATTATTATGAATGAAGGGCTGGAAAAGAAAAGAGAATACATGAAAAAGGGCCAAATAAAACCAATAATAAATTAAAGAAGATGAAAAGAAATGAAGACAATCATCAACCTACCCACAGACATTTATGTCACCTCAGTCAAATTCTTGTACCCAAGTTGAAGTGGACATGCAAAATGTAAATGAAATGAAATTATATAAAAATAAAATACAGGCTAAAAGAAAGACGCACCAAAATCGAATCAGAGATCTTTGAGAAAATATTAAAACAAAAAGTCAAATTTTTGCACGGGTGTAGAATAATTAATTTAATTTAAAACAAGTGAAAA